ATGATGATACATGATGATGATGTACCTCATTTAGAGATTCAGCAGGTAGCTCAATGGTCAAGAGAGGTGGCGATGAACGTGGTGATGTCTGGGATACATCCTCTTCATCATTCGAGTAGGAAAGCATGGGGGAATGGCTTGTAGAATGGTTGTCATCCTGGAAAACAAATACAATCATAATCAGTATTCCTGTTCCTGTAAAATTATCACATATAAAATCCATTTGTTGGTTCAGGTTGCTGAAGTCCAATTTTTTAAACTTTCTTTTTTTAATTTTTAAAAGTTTTTATGGGTTCCCTGCTGTAAAAAAAATATGAGGAAGACTGGGCAAGAGGCATGACTTTCTGCTTTTTCATTAATTCCTCACTTATTCTCAATCTCCCTCACGGTCACATAAACCACACACGTATACCATCAAACGAATTTAAAGAGAGAGAGAGAAAGTGCTTTTGAAGACAGAGGGTTCATACCTGTGTGGATGGAGGAGAATCGAGCTCACAACTGCCCTGGCTGTCAACATCATCGCCATGGTAACCATCAACAGATACGGTGATTTCAGGGACTGTTTCGAGTTCATCCTCGTGGAACGAGTGTCGTATACCGTGGGGTATGTCGGGAGGGCTTCTTGCAACAGCACCGTCAGACACACGTCTCCATGGATTACTACTGGGTGTCTCTTCGTTAGTGTCTGTCCACAAAGAAAGGCACTCTTAGGAGATATCTTTGCGTATAAAAGTTAGGGTGGAGAATAGTGCCGTGACATTCGAACGACTTTCGTGTTCCATCAATATGATTGGATATCCTACGCTTTGGGGCTTTTGATTGGTTGGTGATGAAAAGAAAGTCATTTGAGTGTCAATGTACTGAATGTTCACACAGTTGACATTAATATGGCCTCTCAAATATTTGAATCATTCATGCTTGTTCGCATAATAGAATATAAGAACTCCTGTAGTATGACAATAATGTGAGCTCCTTAAAAAACAATACCATGACGCGAAAAAAGATCTCATGCCCTTACGTCTCAAGTTTAAATTATCTTACAGTGCTTTCCAAATGACAAATTTTGCCATTGTGACGGAGTGGCCAATCAAGGCTTTTCCATGACCTTCTATAGGAGCGTGCTCTTAAAAACTTTGTGTCTTCCGACAATGCCATGGAAACGCTTTGATTGACGTCTACCAAAACCCTTTGACTCTATTTTATCACGAAGCCAAAYTGTACGATTTCGCAAATTCATTGCGGGAAGCATTGTAATAGACCTAGTCAGTTTTCCATTTCAGACCACGTATCATTCCCTTGAGTATTATTCATTTGTTTAAATCTCGTTCATAAAAACTTTATGGTAAACGTAAGATATAACACTCAAGGGAATGACCTGTGAGTGGGGTTATAACCTCTATCTTTTGCATGGAATGCGTAAAGAAAACAAGCGTGTTATTCTAGCAATTTCTAAAGCCATTTTCTTTACAGGCCCAAACACGTTCAGTTAATAGAATGCACATTGTTCACCTCTACAAAAGATTACTTTACCACCATGAGAGCCATTCAAATCTCTGTTGCCAGTGATTTTCTTACTTACTAAATAAGCTTTCTTTGGGGTCGTCATGCTAAATTGCTTTGGTTTTCTTTATGGCATGGTTAGTTTACGATGAATTATAAGACAATGAAATAACAAAAACATGGCCGCCATTTTAGTTGATACAACACATTTTTTCCCGTGTTATTTTTTTAACTCACTGAAAAAGCTTTCTTTAGGGTTGTTAACACAAGTATGTATTGTATTGTTCTTTTTGGTTTTCCTTATAGCACAATTGATTTGCGATGAAATTATAAGAGAATGGAATTACAAAGTCATGGCAGCCATGTTGGTTCATACGACAAAAGGAATATTTTAATAAAAAATATCTTCGAAATCTATCAGCGTGACGGTTATAAGATCGAGAAATTGCAGGCCGGGATTGCAATTTATCTCAAGTGAATAAAAATGCTGCCATGTTGGTTAAAATAACAAAAGAAAGAAAAGAAAAKAAATATTCATCGCCGAAGTAAACCAAGATGGCGGCTACTACGTCATTCTTCAAGTTCGATTTTTCACTGAAGAATAAATTTTCACTAAAAAAATTTCACTAAACCAAGTGTACAAAAACAAAACCAATGCATAAAAAAACACTTTTTCAAACATAAACACAGATAAAATACATGATATTGATAGTTACCTAGGACGCTCGGTGAGCTCAAAGTTCTGTGTAGAGTTGGGTTTACTTCTAGTGAGCTATGTAAAGACGTGGAATCTCCCCAATACCTCCTTACATCGCTATACTTTCGTCTTTCCGTCAGCGATTGAGTTTGTAAATCAACGAGTTGACGATGAAGAAGTCTCACTTTAGTAGAGTCCGTTAGATTGCTTTCGTTGTCGATCGATGAAGTCGAATCTTTGGAATTTTTTCGCCACCTAAAGAGAAACGTAGTTTTTTAAACTGATGTTAAAGATAGATTTTTAAAAACCTTTGTTTATCCCTGAGGAGTAGATGATCAGATAAGATTGCCAATTTCCATGGTAGAAATATCTGTTAAAGGTGCAACAATAGATTGTAGCAGAATCGTATTGAATGGTCTGTTTTTATCTGATAAATTTTAAATGTTTTTTAAAGAAATATCATAGTTAATATGATTCCGATATGGCCGCCATGTGTGAGGTCCACTTCAATCACTGACCAGATACAATACTTGTAGAAAACCAAAATTTAAAATTACAGAAAACACTTTAAAATGCTAAAGGAAAAGAAGCTTGTTTTCAATGATTTTAGGTGGGAAATTAAGCACGTTTTCGTACGCTGAACCACGTATGTTACAAAATGAAAGACTTTCAGTTGGGGAGGTTAACTCAACACCAATCATTTCCTCCTTATTCGAATACAAAAAATTCTCACGAAAATCGAAACTAAAAATTAAGGATATTTAAGCTTCATAGAAAAAAAATGAAAAGAGAAAATGTGAAATGCTTTTAGAAAGATTCTGTAGAACAAGTCACGTGAATGAACCAGAGCTACAACGCAACCTTTAAAAAGTTGTCTTTTGAACATTATTTTGTTCTAAGCCTGTAAAATTATATTTAAACTCAGAGGAGTCCTCTGATTTAAACTTAAGTTCAAGAATCAGGGGAAAAGAGAATATAAAGTATATCGCAATGAGCGTGAGAGAGAGAAAGAAAATTGAACTGTTTAGGCTTACCTGAAGTCCTCTACCTTGGGTACATCACTAGAGATAACTTCGTGTTCCTTGTTAGTTTTCCTGCTACCTTCTCTTCTCCACTCCAAGTCATGTGTCGAAGTCGCTTTATCTTGCTTCGCGGAAACATTCCGGTTCAATTGCTCCATTGAGGTGGAAGCGCTTCTAGTAATTCGCATCGAAGTAGAACGTTTATCTTCGTCGGTGTTTAGATAAGAGCTGTCGCTATCGGCCGAGTTGGAGCGCTTGCTCTTAGCGGGAGGCACTGCCAAGCGACTGGTGTAAGCTTGAAGCTCATTCTCTCGTGATAACTCCTCGTTGGGGTCGGAATCTACCAATAAAAAATCATAACAAACTACCATTAAAACGATTAAGAATCGAAGTTATTCAAACTCAATCGCCCAATGGTAATATGCTTTGTATATTCAACTTAGAAAAAATAATTTTGATTTTTCAGTAGAAAGTTGCTTGCAATAAATTCCCATTCACTTGGAGAACTTACAATCGTTCGCAAAACTTCGCTCTACAAAAAAAAAAAAAACTGAATACAAATGTGTACTAGTATTCTAAAAAAGTTTTCTAACTTCACTTCTAGAACTCGTATTTTCTAAACAAAGTAACCTCTGCTATTCCTAAAAAGTAAAAAACAATCCTAGTATATAGAGACAAAGTATTTTGTACAAAGACTAAATTTTGTAGATTACGAACGGGCAAGCCAACTGCGCATGCTCAATGAAAACTTATATTAAAAGGATGATGTATGGAGTCAATAGAAGTGAAATAGGTCAGTGCAGGACAGAGTAATTGTTTGGGCGGTGTTTATGTCTGAGGTATAATGATTTGATTGACTTGTTGTATTCAGGAAGGTTCGATGTTAATCCTTAATTTATTGCATTCGAAGTGATGTTGATAAAAGTCAACAAATACAACACGTCATTTCTTTGCAAAGTTTAGAGCGGTGAGATAGTACTAGAACGTAGCCAAGATTGTCGCCAAGATTACAATATTATCCTAATTATTTTTTGAAAATTTGGGAGCCACGTTTTTCGGGGGGAAATATTGATTCCATTTTGATCGCAACCTTGTGGTAAAATTTGCAACAATTAAGGCCTCGATAAAGTTTATCATAACACAATTGCACTTCATTAAATTCTACTTAACATCAATCTGTTCACTGACGATAAACTTTGTAAAAACAATTGAAGTACTTTGAATTGTTAACAAAACAAAATGCGGAGAAAGTGTGAGAATTTCTGTTCGAACTTGTTTTCAGCTTCGAATCGAAAAGCTGGAAAACTTAAGTATTTATTTGAAACGCTAAAAACGAAGACAAAAGCATTGGTGGTTTAATAACGTAAACGTGAAAAGTTTCTGTAAACGTTTGGCTTTGTTTACAGCCAAAGAAAGGTAACTTCTTTGAAGAAAAATTTCATAGTAAATGCGGTAAACGTGATAGCGGACCAAATGGGTTTGTATGCGTAGGAATTAAGTTGGTTTTGCCCAATATATGACCGGAATCACAGTAAACACTTTGTTTTAAACAAACCGCATCAAGGAACCATTACTAAAGATAATTGTTTACCTAAAATCAGATGTATTTGAAGATAGCACAGTCTATGACAATAATTTCGGCTCTAGCAAGTTAAATCACAATTTTTTTGGAATCCATTACAGTGCTCAACATCTGTTCGCGATAAAGATTCTCATTTTTAAGAAATCTTTGTTCTTGTACGCAATTCTTACAAAAAAAATTCTTTGAGCTTAATGATAAAGTCACGAATGTCTGTGGTTACGGCTTGGGATTAAAATACTTTTAATTTTTAAGATTGATCTGCAGGGATTCTGATTGTTTCGTTAGCAACATGAACTACATCGAAAGGGTTGAAAAAGGAGTCATTTTCGTTGTAATATTTTTTTCTGCGGCAGAAGAATAGAATTTCTAAATACCTGAACTAATAAAAAAATCCAAAGTGAACAAAGCTACATTTTTGGATCATCTTTAGTGCGTCAAAAAATATTTTTTCCAAAATAATTCCAAGGCTTTAATTACAGATGACTAAGTTTTTCGTCATGTTCAGTTCTTCGCGACAATTCTATTAACTATGCTTCTCTCTTTACCTTCAATCTCGTTCAAATTTTCTCTCAAACTTCTCTTCCACCAGGAAACCTTGTCCAACGTTCCACAAACATAAACAACCTTCCCTGCGCGAAGTTTCTGTGGAATGACCGCCAAACCAAACGAGTCACAACTTTTACTCCTCATACGAGCCTTGGGAGGCATCAATGCTTGCATCAAAAAATGGCGGGAAAATCGTTTAGCTCAAAGTCAAGCACCCTTGAAATTCAGCTTAGACTTTTCAACACGATAACCATCGACATCAAATATCCTGACCTCGAATTGCTCAAATCTTGATTTTTTTTACTCTACAAATGCCCTGGAATATATTAGGATTAACTGATGGCGCACGTACCGGTCACGTGATCGGATAAATCTACGCACATCCCGTCAACTTTCTCGGTCCGCGTGGGAAAACTTTTGAAGAAAAAAAGCGAATTTTGATGAGAACTTTGGGGTCAAATTGAGTATAGAATGTTTTCTTTGAAGAAACGAGAGGAAAAAAGTCCAAAACGTCRAGCTTAATTGATATCATGAATTGAAATTTGGTAGGTTCAACGAAGCTAAAAACACGAACACTTGGTTCGACCAATCAGAGTAACTTAGTTACGTGACCGATAGTTCGTACCTCAATTTAAGAATTTCCGAAAGATTTTCCTAAAGAAATGCTTTTGAAAGCTGAGTAAATAACGTATTTTCATTTGACTTGAAGTCAAAAGTACAAGCACATCTTTATTCTTTAAGTTATAGTCATGACAGTTCTAATGTACCCCGAGGCAAGAGTGTGTTTTTCTAAAGCTGAAAGGAATTCTCCTAGCTTATATTTATTCATTTTCTATACTAACTTTGTTTTATTTTAGGCAATTAATAAAAGTATAACGAGTAAGAGGCATTTTCTTTTATAAATTTGTAATCATTGCCAATAAAAATTTTATGTTGAGGATATTGTCGAATCGTTGGAGCTAACACCAATGAAGTAATATAATATAGCAACACGAAACAAAAGAATTGGAAGAAAAAGAGATATTTATCGTTGTTTTAATAGCAAGTTGTGTAAGCCTGGAGCAAGACAAAAGATAAACCAAAAATAATTGAGGAAAAGGCGGACGTTCACATGGACGAAATCCAATTGAAATAATTTTAGCTTTAAAATCTGTCATTTACAATGATAAATGTATGTACTAACGATATGTTGATGATGTTGGTTACTGAATGAAACGAATATCGGTATTTTCCATAGTCAAGTAAATTGGGTGATAGTCTTTGCTTATTTTTTTAAATTAATCTTTAGAGACATTAGATTAAATATATATATACATATTATATATACATATCAATTAACGTGGTTTTTTGAGTCCATTTCAAAAGGTGTAATACAAAAACTAACCGAGAATCTAGAATAAAAACGCTTTAATCTTTTCAAATTGCTTGGGATTAAAATGTCGTACGAAATATAGGATTTCGTGACACTGAACAGATAATCAATTATTAAATATATTAAAGGCGAGCCAGTTTGCATTTGATTAAAAATGGATTCTTATTTTTATAGTTTTTGTTTCTATCGCATGATAGGCTTTCTTCCTAAAACAGATGGAAGGCGAGTAGAAATCTATTCCAATTCCCTTTAATCAATTAACCTGTGCAGCAGACGTGGCGTTCAGCTAAGAATATCGATTTTAGTTTATTTTGGCATAAATAGAATAAATTATAAAATATATTTACCCCAAACCTGCATTTAAACTTAAAACTTCATTTCAATTCTGTTATAAATCAGAGAAAACAGGAAGTACTCACATATCTTACCTGTTTCATCCTCGTACAATCCCAGCAACGTCCTCTCATATTTTCTCATATTCAACTTCAGTTGTCTGTTTTCCTTTGCCAGCCTTTTAAAAGTCTTCAAAGCCTTCATTTCGCGTTGAAGAGCATTTTGAAGCCTTTCTCTTAGTATTTTATTCTCAGCTTTGAGTATATGGAATCGTTCGCCGAGTTGTGAGCCATTTTCAAAAGATCTTCCTCGAGTTGCCTCACCATGCGATCGTGTTGGCTTCTGTTCCATTTGTTGCAGAGCATTCATATTTTGATCGAATACATCGAGTACTTTGTCAATTGTCCGTGAATCCAAGCTATTCAGATCAGAACTAGACTGCCTTGGCTTGGAATGAGAGCTAGGGATATATTCTCTCGTCCTTCGTCGTCTTGGAGGAGGAGAACGACCTGTTTGGGCCCGTTCAGACATTCTTCCGCGATCAACAGGCAAATCCATCATTCCCAGTCGCTTCTTAAACCCCTGCTATCTAAAAAGTTTTCCAAGAAAAGATGATTTTTTAATGAGCTAACAGGTTACTAACTAGAAATAATTTATTAAGCAAACAGAGTCATATCACAAATATTATTATTTCTGATCATTTTATCCTCGCTGCGAAGTACGATTACGATTCGTCATTACTTTGAAGTTGTCTGTCTATCGTCGGAAAAAGCATTTAGGTCACTATCTTCAAAATCTTGAGCAATAAAACCCCGAAGAATTTATAACTCTGTCTCCAGTAAAAACAAATGTCATCAGAATTAACTGACGATATTCAAAATCTGGGTTTGAAGCGCTTTAATGCGCCAGAACGAAGAAATAAGGACTGAAGACTAAAGTCTTTCARGATAGCATCAAAAATATTTAAGTTACAGGCACTTAAGTCGCAACAAGATTACTATTATCACTACCTTTGCTGTTATTATAATCACCAGTTAGCTTGTGCTTGACGTTTAGTAAAAATCATTTGCCATTGATTTAGATGTGCTATATTGGTTTCGATATCCAGGCAATTAGAAAGTTTCAAGCTCTGTGAGTCATCACTTAAATTCACGCAAAAAAACACTAAATCACCTGTGCAATATGTTTGGAAACTCACCATTTAGAAGAATAGCTTTGTTTGGAGTCCATGTTAGTCGGCAAGCGAGCTTTATTTGGTGCTTTGACGAAGTTGTTGATCACTAATGAATAAAATCGAGAGACAAAATAAAATTTCAATTAGAATGCATGCATACATTCGGTGTATTGTTCCTTGGATACCATGAAGGTTTACGTTAAGAACACCGCTATTATTCCCAAGTCACAAGGGATTCACAGTCCAATGCATTGATGAAAGGCTTTTTATTGATTTTCCAAGCAGCCGGCAAGACAAAGTGGCCGGCAATTCAACGACTGTGCAAGAAAGCCAGGAACCGTAATTTTACCTCATTTTCTCTCTCCAGACAATCTATACTTAAAGATTTAATATATTCTAGATTGCAGACTCCAGCTGTTTAGATGGCCTTGCATCAGTACCTCTTTTAGTTATCTTGGCCRGGCCTAGTTTTTAAAGCAAAGAGACTAGCATGAACCTGACACAGAGCCATTTAGAACACACAAATGCATGTCGAAAAGATTACTGATAAACATAATTGCCGAATTTAAGTCAAGTTAACTTACTAGTATTTTAAGTTGTCACATAGTTAACTATGGTTGTCATTAGCTTTAGTTTTCGACGTGTTGCAGCAGACGTGTAATGGCACGAGAGTTCAATTCAACTTCCAAACACCTTTTACTACAAACATGCTTCCAGTGATTATATGGTCAAAACAGCAATAACATCCCCTTGTGGCAAATAAATGGGCCAGTATCACCTTCAAGCTTTTCTATCCTAAAATACTAAATATATAGCAACCTACGTGTCAATATTTGCTCTTTCATCCAGACCTCTTTAAGTCAACAAAAAAAATTACCAAAGATCCGGCAACATTATGCAAAACCAGCTCAAGTAGACTTTCAAACTGTGGACATACCATGAAAGATCGATCAAGAACCTCAAGCAGATCAAGAACTTTTATCTTCAACTCCGCGAGTCAAGAATTTTGAACGTTTTGACCTCGATCGCGTCAATCAGCGGTAAAAATGACAGATCTTAACTAAGTTAACGCAAATGAAGTTTGGGATTAAAGACATGGAATAGAGTTGGCGGAACAAAATCTGGGTGTAAGGATGCGGACGACATGACCTTAGTCCACAAGTAAACAGTGATTGGGAAATGATGTGATTAGGAAATGATGTTAATAAATCTTGACAGTTTATCCTAATGGAATTTTCAGATGTCAATTTAAATAACGAGCAGGATTTAGACGATCTAGGACAGCTCCGTTTTTGGAAGGTTACATTTAGCTTCTGAAAAAAAGTTCAGAAACCACTTTTTTTTGTCATTCCATTGAGAATAAATGCTCTAATTTATTAAGAAAAAGTGCAAGTCCAAAGGGAAAACTATAAATTGAATTCCATGAGGAAGAACAGAGCATATAGTGGTATTCAGTTTTGAGTTGTTTTTTTTTTTTTTTTGCAGTATTTGTGCCAAGAATGTGCCTATTTATTGGATGCACTCATACGCATTAAATTACTTAAATATTATAATTTCCGACAGTAGTGAAGGTTGTCATCAAGTTGAAGCATTTGAAGTGAGCGTGCGATAAGATAGTTTACTTTTATTGTTTATTCAGCCGAGTGCAGGGCCGAAAAGTCAAATAGCATCACTAAAAAGGTTGTCTGCCTTCAGTTAGTGAAAGTCAAGTGGTACTGCCTTAACAGACCTAGTCTTATCTTATCTATGCCTCAATATACGAGACAAAAGCATTGATCAAGCTCAGAAAATAAGGATCAACACCTTGGTAATTCGAAATATCACAACAAAAACAGCATTATCATCTAAATTGGTTTCAAAATGTATACTTCTTGAGGTAGCTAGATGTAAGATAAAACCTAGGAGTATTGGATGTTGGAATGAAGTCATGTGTGAAGCTGCTAACTACTTCGCTTTCCACAAAGAGCAAAGTGCCCACTTTCATGGTTGTCCCGCCTCTATGTTTAGGACAAGTTATTTAAGCAATTAAAGCAGTTTTTCGACAAATAATCCTTGTTAATGGACTGTCAAGGAGACAATGTATTAAATTGATGTGTTAAACGGTTTGAACTCGGCTACTCGGCTCGAACCTTCCAAACACTTTCTCACTCCAAGAAAAGATTTTTCCAAAAGCGAAAGTACATCGACGAAGATCGCTTTGCGGCTGAATTTAACCGCATACATGCATATACGCAATAGAAAATTCRACTTCTAACCATAATTATTAATCCAGACTTCAATGGATCCTTGAAACCAATATGTTATATAACCACCAAGTTGCGTGATGCCGGCAACAGAATAAAAAGTGCGTAAATTCAGTTTCCATTCTCTCGCGAATGGAAGGACATAAGTAAAGACAAAAAAATAGCGAAATGATTTGAATTCTTTGAGAAAATTCTTATTTATAAATACAAACACTTTTTGAATGCATGTTTTCTAATCTCAGTACTACAAAAAATTTAAGGGTTTTTAAAAAACCTAAGAAAAGACAAAATAGCAAAAATAAGAAACACCAAATAAAGCTCCTATTTTTTTTGGCCATTTTTATTTATTCTTTCCCAGTTCTTTTTCCAAAATAAGGACTTGAATACATTAAAAAAAAGACGTGTTTAGTTCAGTGAGCACTTATAGATTTTGTCGCGCTATTACTGCAAACTTACCGGACTTATTTTGTATCACCTATTTCTCTTACTTTGAGCGCTCATCTTGTAGCTTGAAGTAAACTTGCTAATAGGTAAACTGAAACATCGAAAATTAGATGTCTGTAAGCGTCTTGTTTTCAAGCAAGTTTGTCAGGTTTTAAAAGTGACAAAGGATCAACTTCCTGTGTCTTTAGCACTTTTTGAACACCAAGTTTCAATACCTATATCGATAAAACCCCGACTGAGGTTTTCTCATTTTCTTTAATGCTAGCAACAATACAGCGTTTTTTAACCTAACTTTATGAGAATACAAATAGATTAGGGAAACCTGCCGTGTTCTCACGACAACGGACTCAAATACTTCCTTTTTTTTCTCTGTTGCCTCAAAAACAAAACCTTTCGTGAGCTGAAAAGTTCCTTTGTAATAATTGTTTATTCTACCAATTATGTGATAAATTAAGTAGAGGAAAAGCAAGAGTCACGTACGACAGTAAGAAAGAATTAATCTTTTTCAAGAGTTGGGACCGAAGGCGATCGTGTCATTTTATAAAATAGTATGCAGTTCATGTTATAGTCCCTCATTAAACGGATCCCAGAGTTCTCGAGTTCAATGGCTAGTTGTTATGAAGTTAAAATACGCGCATCAGCTCGAAACAACTTGGGGGGTATTTTGCATTGTGTACACAGGCTTTACGCACAGCAATATCAAGGAATACCGACTATTTGACGCACCATGTGAGAGAAGAGGCCGGCATGCTTTTGAACTAATAATATCAAGGTTCAAAGAAAGTAATATAATAATCTTTTTGGTCAAATATGATACATGATTTAAATACTAAAGGTAACTGTGTTTCTTTTTGCATTTGGTATTATAGAGCAGAGCAGAAAAGAGGAAACAAACGAGAGGAGAGGAAAGGAAATGAATGGAAGGGAGAGAATGTGAGAAAGGGAAAAAAGGAAAAGCAATCAAATGAATCAACCTTTTATATATACTGCACTACTTCCCTATGTGGGAGTATAACTTACCAAATGCCTGCTATCTCTGACCCTCAAATAAAGAAGTCTCAGAATCTCAATAGGTGTGACTCCCAGTTACATGTGTAGTTTTGTTAACTGAACCAATCTTCTTGGATGGTAGAGCAGGATAGGAAGTGGTTCCACCCTGGTATATAACATAGATATTTATTTATTTATTTGTTTGTTTGTTTATTTATTTATAATAACTTTATTTGCAAACAAAAATAACTTTATTTGCAAACAAATAATAGAAGAAAAAAAATTGCAAAAAGGGTATATAAGTAAAGCTCATTCTATCCATGTTAATGACTGCTTCAATCAGTTCTTGACCCTTGTATTAATCCTTGTACAAACTTGACTATCGAATAAATATGGTGTCATCTAAAGATTAAATAAATTTCAAATTTCACACTAGTTTTTAGCTAGTTATATCTTCTTAAATTTCAATATATACAATATTCCAAGGTGATCCATATAGAATTTTCAGAATACCATCCATCTAACAAAAATTCCTTCAGAATTTATTTTCCAACAATTTTCCATCTTTCTGACCACTGTTTTTCCTGGTACAACATTTCCAGACTCATCCATGCATGATTCCAGGTAAAAAATATCAAGAACATCAAAGCTTTGTAGATATYGTGCAAGGTGTTTATAACCCCAAGCTTCCCCTCCTGGGTGATGACTGTTATCTGATATTGTAACCATTGCTTCATTAGCCTTTTAAACCTACAAATAGATTTTTTGGGGGGTAGGGGGGATTATTTTTTGTGTGGGTTTCCTGTGGATTCTAAGAGTAAAATTTGGTCTTCCTGTGGTTACCACAGGTAACCCATACCAAACCTATTAAAAGTRTTTTTAAAGCTGATGAAAAACATAAAAAACATTATATTTGTAAGGATACAAACAAAAAATAAGAGAAAAAAACAAATTGACTAGAAATATTTTATATTGTTACCCATTTCATTATTAGATCATTGAATTTTTTAATTCACTGCTTTGGAGAAATTTGCTTTTAACAAAATATATACTCTAGGCTTCCTGTAATATGCCCTACTGAAGGATGCCTGAAGAACTGAAAAATATTTAGAGATCAGTCCTCAAGCCCAAATGGGCTACGAGTCAATAGCAGCCCAAAGCCCAAATGACATGACGAGCTGGAGAGCCCATTTTACGGTAAACAGCATGTAGTCTTGGTTGCTACAGATAATAGTTAATCCGATTTCCGTGATGTCAAGATGACGAATGCCAGGCAAAAACATCAAGCATCTGTAAATATGCCTACACTCGATCTATTTAGAGTTATAAACCATGTCGCTCGGCTATGAAAGTCCCAATAAGACACCCAAAACATAACATACTTGTCATATAATCACTTATTACCTGTAGCATTAAAAATGCCAATGAAACAATTCGATTGAAATAAACATTTATGAAAATATATACCTTTAACCCGCTCCCAATAGAACAACACAAGCTAAGAACAGACGTATTATGTACAAAACAGAAACAGAGTCACATCTATCACAAAACACAGTGATCTAAGTAAGCATGCAAATTATACAGGTATGCGAGTACCTAAGCATAAATGCTGCCTACAGATCTAATACATAACACGGACAGTGACCTAAGTAAGCATGCAAATTATACAGGTATACAAGTACCTAAGCATAAATGCTGCCTACAGATCTAATACATAACACGGACAGTGACCTAAGTAAGCATGCAAATTATACAGGTATATGAGTACCTAAGCATAAATGCTGCCTACAGATCTAATACAAAGACAATAAACGCACATCACATACATAAAATAACAGCAAAAGGGTTAGATAGGCAGTGATAATGTGTAAGAAAAACCTGACATCCTTTGATCTTGGTCAATAGTTCATCGAAACGTTCTCAGTGACCCTTTCAAATAAAGCGCCACAATAGAGTTACATGATATCTTATAACGACGTAAATATTGTTTCAGTGATGTAATGTGCCGTCCATTGATAGTGGCATGCTATGTGCTCATGCTGTGTTAATCCGTACGATGACATGCATTATGCAAGTATTCCCTATGCAATGAATAGAAATGAAATCTGAGACGAGCACTTTGAAAGTGCTGCTTCACGCCGGTAACTAAGCCGTGTAGCTCGTCATGCTATTGACTTATAGGCCATGAGAGCAAAAGGACTGTTTTTTTTAGTCAAATTCAACTAGTTGGTCAAATATTGCAAACAATTTTAGTTTTCAATTAACTACTAGTAAACTTAGGAGTAAACTATAACTTATAGCCTAGCTAGTAGTAGTTCATCCAATCAGAATGCAGCATTGATGATACACCGCTATTTGGATTTGACTATTAAGATTTTATTCATAAACTTGCTATTATTTTCATGGCATAATATATTTACAAACCTTCATTATAATCTTGCCGAGGGTAAGGGTTTCCAGGTCTGTCAGTGGTACTCACTTCAAACAGTGCACCATATGAAACACCATACTTTATATTCTCTTAATCTTTTTCCAAACTCTATCAGTCAATTCAAATCCTATTCTATAAAGGCTGATCAAAATGACCAATAATCAAATTGACCAATAACCTCTGGTTGAATTTCTCTTAACATTTCATACTGCTCGTCATAATACTTCATCGTCGTTGCTTCTGTTTACCCGCACTTGTCCTCTGCTTTACAATATTCCTCCTCTGAGTAATGTATCTGCATTCCATCTACCTAGTCCAATAAATATTTGCTCTTAATTCTTTAACAACAACAACAACTGCAATTACCGTAAGCAACAATAGCAAATATAACGGCAACAACAGCAGCAACAAAACATTACAGTAACAGCAATAACAACAACAGCAATAACAACAACAGCAACAACAGCAGCAATAACAGCAATAGCAACAGCAGCAACAACAGCAGCAGCAACAACAGCAGCAATAACAACAGCAATAACAACAGCAGCAATAACAACAACAGCAACAACAACAACAGCAACAACAACAACAGCAACAACAACAACAGCAACAACAGCAGCAATAACAGCAACAGCAACAACAACAGCAACA